GCTAAACTGGGCTATATCCTTGAAATAATTCCTTCCATTAACCAGATTTTTTTTAAAAAAAAACCTTCTAAGTCACTCTGTCACTAGGGTGACCACCAGTCCTGAACTGGGCGGGACAGTCCCAAAATGCAGAGTTCAAGTCCCAGTGCCAGGCTGAATGATGCCAGGACAGCATTTGTCCCAGATTCCTTGTAGCGCTGCTCTCCGCCTACCAAAGGCTCAGGGTCGGTGGAGGGAGGGGAGGCTGAGGTGAGCCTTAGCCCGCCTCGCCACAAGGCCCTGGCCCTGCTCCTCCTCTTTCCCCCGAGGCACTGCCCCCCGGCCAGACCAGAAGCTGGAGGTGGGCCGGGCCGTGATAAAAGCTGCCTAGGGAGCCCGGGCCACTGTGGGGAGCTCTGGACCTTCCACCTGCCCTGGGCGATGGGCCAGGTGCCTGAGGATAGCCCCCAGCCCATGTCCCCATCCCCTGGGGTGTGCTGCCCAGGGAAGGTGGAGGGTCCGGGGCTTCCCACAGCGGCCTGGGCTCCCTAGGCAGCTTTTACGACAGCCCAGCTCCAGCTTCTGGCCTGGCCAGGGGGTAAGGCCTCAGGGGGAAGAGGAGGAGAAGGGGGCAGGGCCTCGGAAGGAGGGGGTCAGAGCTCCTGCATGTATCCCACTTTGCTGTTTGAAAAAGGGGTCACCCTATCTGTCACACTCACCAAAATGTATAGCTTTGAGGTTGCAGTCACTAAAAAGACTAATTTTCATGTCTCAGATGTGTAGATAAGAACATAAGAATGGCCCTACAGGGTCAGACCAAAGGTCCATCTAGCCCAATATCCTGTCTTCTGGCAGTGGCCAGTGCCAGATGCCCCAGAGGGAATGAACAGAACAGGTAATCATCAAGTGATCCATTCCCTGTCGCTCATTCCCAGATATTTTAGAAAAGATTACTCTTCAGATACTATTAGTATGATCAGCAGTTTTAAAACTCCAATCCATTTACAGTGCCTCAAAATTTTCTGGACCAGTGGATTGTAAATTTTTCTTCTGGGCTCAATCTGTATATGAAAAGTTGAAATGACTGCTAAATACACCCTAATGATTTGAAGTTGTAAACCAGAATGAAATAAGTCATTGTTAGATTTGGTAAGTTTGATGATAAATGGTACATTTGGGGGTCTTGATCTTGCCTATTTGTAATGCTGAAATCCAAGAATATGTTCCATTTACTGCAATAAATTGCATTCGTTGTCTTAGATCTGTCTCACAAAATGATTTTAAGAACTTTAGTTGAAAATTTATAAGGCTTAAAATGTTGTCTCTCTTGCTGAGGGACTGAATATGTTCTCAAAACTTTGTTAACTGTTAGGATGTGACTGTGATGGGGGTTCTGAGGGCCAGGCAGTGGTTAGCGCACCTGACTTCCAGCCTTTTGCCTCTGTCAGGGCAGTAGAGAAACCAGTTCCTGATCTTAGGGTGGGAATCTTCAGCTTTCCACCCACATCTGGGCCTCCTTGGCCCTTAAGGTTACATATCTGGGAGTTTGGATTGTCTTCTTCTTATCTTCAGGTCTTGTTCTCAGAAGACAAACACAACTCCATCTCCTACTGTGTACCCTATTCTTGATCAAGACCGTAACTCTGTAACTGACTGTTTAAAAACACATGAAGATATATTTTATCGAGTTCGCAGGGACACATCAATTGTTCATTTCTTTTGCCAAACATCAACTTTCATTCGTGGTTTTACCAAGTGGCTAGAGTAAATTAGTAAACTGATAAGGACTGACTCAATTAATTTAGGAGGACATATTCTGTAAGAGAGGTTATGGCTAGTAAGGTGATGGTAATAGGTGTTAGGACAGATTGTATCCTGAAAGATGCTTCAGGTCCAGAGGACTCTTTAACCATAGTTATAGCACAAGCCTAATGTGGAGTCTAATTCTTCTTAAGACATTATTGCAGGCTTTGAAGCATTGTCCAAGACTTTATAAAACAAAACCTATTTTAAAATATTAAAGAGTTTATGCTTAATGTAAAAATATTGAGCTGCTGTTCCTTCAAATTTCTTAAGTTTTCAGAAAGTATAGCCTTGCTGGCTGATTCCTGACCAAGTGGCTGAATTAGGAAATCTCTTCTGGTTTTAACATAATAATAATACTTTGCATTATATAGCAATTTTCATTTTAGGATCTCAAAATGCTTTACAAATGTTATTTTATGTATTTGATTTGAAAGGCAGCAAAAAACAATGCCTACCAAAATCTTGACATTCAGAAATAAACAATACAAAAATACAAATACAGAGCCAAAACAGCAGCACAGCTTCTGTATTACAAGCCAGAACAAGATGAGAGCCATTTCAGATTACTGGGTGGGAGGGCATGAGAAATTTTCTACATAAGAATGGCCATACTGTGTCAGACCAAAGGTCCATCTAGCCCAGTATCCTGTCTTCCAACAGTGGCCAACGTCAGGAGCCCCAGAGGGAATGAACAGAACAGGTAAACATCAAGTTATCCATTCCCTGTCACTCATTCCCAGCTTCTGGCAAACAGGCTAGGGACACCATCCCTGCTCATCCTGGCTAATAGCCATTGATGGACCTATCCTCCATGAATTTCTCCTCAAGGAGCCAGACTTAGAGGTTTATAGTTTGTGTGGTCAGATTCTTCTTTTCAGGGCTGGGTGCAAAAAAGTGTGTATGCGCTGGGGGAGGGGTGGCTTTAAGCCATCTTTAGTGCCCCTTGAGTTTTGGCTCCAGGGCTGCTCTAATATGCATTGGCTCCTAAGGACCATGAGTGTGCTGTCACACACCTTTACAAACTAGCTGTAGCATAGTGTGCTCTGACCAAGACCTACTCCTGCCCTTTCTTTTCTCCGACACAACCCTTAAGCCAGAGCTGTTATATTGACCCACAGAGAATCCCCACACCCCATGCTGGGGGCCATCAGCACAGCCACAGCCCGGTGTATGACATGGGTTCAAAAGTGCAGGGCTGGCTCTAGGCACCAGCGTTCCAAGCAGTGGCGGCTCCAGGCACCAGCGCTCCGCGGGGGGCGCCCTACCGGTCCCTGTGAGGGCAGCAGTCAAGAAGCCTTCGGCGGCTTGCCTGCGGGAGGTCCGCCGGTCCCGCAGATTCGGCGGCAATTCGGCGGCGGGTACGCCGAAGCTGCGGGACCAGCGGACTTCCCGCAGGCATGCCGCCAAAGGGGTGGCAAAAAAGCTAGAGCCGCCGCTGGTTCCAAGCTAGGGTTACCATATTTTGAGTGTCCAAAAAGAGGACACTCCACGGGGCCCCGGCCCCAGCCCCGCCCATGCCCCCGCCCCAACTCCACCCCTTCCCCAAAGTCCCCGCCCCAACTCCGCTCCCTCCCCTGCTTCCCGCAAACATTTGATTCGCGGGAAGCCTGAAGCAGGCAGCAGGTAAGCTGGGGTGGGGTGTGGGGAGGAGGCGAGGCCCAGTCTGGCCTCCCCCAACCGAGTGGCTCCCTCTGGCGGCTGGCCCCGGCCCCAGAGTCTCCAGCCTGGTTCGGCTTTTGGGGATTTCCCCCCAGACGGGGATTTGAGGCCCAAAAAGCCAGATATATCCGGGAAAATCCGGATGTATGGTAACCCTATTCCAAGCATATGCATGGGGCGGCACTTTTCAAGGGGCAGCATTCCTGGAGCTGGCCCTACAAAAGTGGGACTTCAGGAAGTGAGAAAGGGTACGCACAATGGCATCCTTTCATCTGGCCTAACAGGTGCAGGTGTTGGACACCTCAGGAAGGTACGGACAAGGTTGGTCCCCTCCGGTGACTGGTATCACCCACCTCTTAAAGCCCCAGCTCCTGGAATCCTGTGACAATCCCAGCAGGGGTCCAGCTGCTGGGCAGGGGACTAGAGAAAAGCTGGGTAACACGATCCTCAAAGGCTTCAAGCCCTCCTGGCAAATCAACCCCACCTCCACTTATCACTCGTGTGAGATCATAGTTGGCAAATACGTGACTCTGATCTCTGAAGGTCTGACCGCCGCGCCCTCTAGTCAACGCCCCGCCCCAGGCCTCGG